ATGCAGAATGGAGCTGCAGTCCATGGTAGAACAGGGATCTGCTAGAAATGCTGACCGTAACTTGGCGCAGCGGTGGCTCTCCTGCTGGCAGTCCCAGCAGGAACAAGCCAGGATGCACAGGCTGTTGTAGGGTCCCAGAGGTGGTTGGAGGGCTAGTTTGAAGCAGAGCGGTAAGAGGTAGTGGGGATGGTGTTTGTCATGATGGTACCGGTGTCGCATCTCTCCTGGGGGAAGGGAGGGAGAGGTCTTACCCCTCTGTGGCTCCTCACCCAGCACACTGCAGCTTGCTCAGCGCTCCAGGAGCGTCGCTGTGGTTTAGACGCAACCTCTCTGGCGCGCTGCGAGCTTCCCCCTGTTTGTGTCTGTCGATGGTGTGTATCCCCCTGCCAGGAGCTGGCAAATGAGCCAGGCCGTGTCGGTGAGTCAGCCTTGGTCCGTAGCAGATGGCAGAGTTGTGTCTTACTGCTGGGGTAGGTGTGGAGCCATCTGTGCGGTGAGGCTGGGTTTGACTCCGAGGGAGAGTTTCAGTTGGACCCCTGCCTTCACCTGGTGCCGAGGACAGTCATCCCTAGCTACAGTCTCCAAATAACATGTTCTGCCTCTTAGCTCTGGGTACAGCTGGGAAAGGGGAGCTGCCAGCATGACCAGGGAAGTGGCTCATCTGCTCCCAGTCCTGTCTCAGGTAGTAACTGCACCCAGATGGTCCCTGTTAGAGCCTTCTTCAGGATGGGATTCCTTCCTAGCCCCTACCAGAGGTATATTCCCTTAAATTTAAATAAATACTGGTTTTGTCACTGTCCTTTCCTTAGGAGTAGCCAACATTTGAGCGCTTGAGAGAATTCAGTGCCTCTTGCAGCTAGGTCTCCTCTTCTCCCTCTGCTCCTTGCCTACTAGTGAAATTGTCGTGTGGAGTTTAGGAGCAGGGATCAATAGAAGGCGGAAGAAAAAGCACAGTCCTTCACATTCATTTTCCTCCTTCCTGTCTCCTCCCGTTGCACAGTCCGGAGCTGACGGGCGCGGATGTTCCCCTGCCTTTCCAGCAGATGCCTGTGTGCCCCGGCCAGCTGCCACCGGTGGCTTTGGACCAGGATATGGGCTTTGTCTCGGGGCCAACCGTTACGTTCTGAGTGCGTGTGTTGGGCTGTGCCCATCTCTCCCCTTCCCAGATTACAGCTAATGAAAAGCTGTATGTAACGCAGCAACCCTCTCTTCCTCTTCTCCCTGTTGGGCTCCTGCTGATTCTTTGGCGTTGCGTTCTGTCCTACCGTTCTCTTGAGCTGGGGATATTTCGGTTCTCATTCCTGACAGCGTAACTGGGGGAAGTCTTGCAAGTTGCCCCAGGTCAGTTAAACTTTCTTGGTTTTCAATCTGGCAGGCTTGGACGCAGGGAAGATAAAACAAGTGGGAACTATTCGTGGGCAGGAAAGCACTCGGCGCATTGGAGATTACAAAGTCAAATACGGCTACACTGATATCGAGCTGCTCAGGTCAGCAAAACTCCACCCTGTGGCTTCAGGCCCTCCTTTCCTTCATGACCTCTCTGTTCTCACCTGCTCCGTCACCAAGAAACACTAAGTAGCCCTGTCTCTTTCCAGTGCTGCTAAATCTAAGCCCATCATCGCAGAACCTGAAATCCACGGAGGGCACTCGCTGGATGGGGTGACTGGCTTCTTGGTGCTCATGTCTGAGGGGCTCTACAAAGCGCTGGAGGCAGCTCATGGGCCTGGGCAGGCCAACCAGGTGAGCCCGCTCGCGCGGGAAGCGTTCCCTTGGCGGCTGACTCGCTCGGGTGGCGTCAGCTGCTCTCGTGCAGGCTTTCCTGTGAGTGCTGGCCCCGCTGAATGCCTGTGCCACCCCATTCCAGCCTGTAATCGTACAGGGGCTGCTCTGCCAAGCCCGTTCTTTTAGGCAGCTGCCCATCCCTTAAAGGGAATGGGATCGTTCAAGGCTCAGGGGCACGTCTTGGCAGGTGAGACTGCCAGAATCTCAGATCAGATGGCAGGAAAAGGTTTCCTCCAAAATCTCCTTCCTCTCTGTTTTTTTTTTCCTTTTCTTTTTCTCTGCGCGCAGGAGATCGCAGCCATGATAGCCACAGAATTCGCCAAGCAGACGTCACTGGATGCCGTGGCGCAGGCGGTCGTGGACCGCGTTAAGCGGATCCACTGCGACACTTTTGCCAGTGGTGGGGAACGGTCCAAGTTCTGTCCCCGGCACGAAGACATGACACTGCTCGTGAGGAACTTCGGGTACCCCCTGGGTGAGATGAGCCAGCCCACGCTGACTCCGACGCAAGGTGCGTGGGGGAGGAAACGGAACCAAGTGGAGGGTGGATCTCTTGATCGAACATCAGGGGAGGAGACACTCGGTGTAGAAGAAACTTTCTTATTAAAGGGATTATTGGCTTTGGAGATGTAGGAGTCTGTGACAATTTTGAGTGACAATTTAAAGGCTTTGAGCAACCTGCCCTAGTGGAAGGTGTCCCTGCCCATGGCAGGGGGGTTGGAACTGGATGGTCTTTATGGTCCCTTCCAACCCAAACCGTTCTGTGATTCAACAGAAAATAGTGGGGCATCCAAGAAAGGCAGTTTAATGTAAACTCTTGGGTTCTTTGGCCTTTCTTTGCTGCTGTGCACCCCCAGTCGCTCATGTCCCGACTGTAGCTTGTAACTCTTGTTTTCTCCCCTCTCAGGAGGCCGTGTCTACCCAGTCTCCGTGCCGTATTCCAGCTCCCAGAGCACAAGCAAGACGAGCGTCACGCTGTCCCTTGTCATGCCTTCCCAGGGACAGATGGTCAACGGTGCCCACAGCAGCTCGACTCTGGACGAAGCCACCCCCACCCTCACTAAGTAAGAGTCCTACTCGCAGCTTTTCCCGCACCTCACGCTGCGTAAAGCGGTTGGAAAGCAGAGACGCCTATCAGTTACCTGTCAATCATTCCCCTGTCTGGAGCGCGGCCCTCCTGACTGCTGTATTGGCAGCCAGCCTAATGTGTTAGCTGGAGAGCGACTGTGCGAGGGGATGAGGAAAGCGAGCAGCTCCGGAGCCAGCTCTGGGAACATGCCTCGGGTGCGGCATCTGCCGCCACTTGCGGAGGGCACCGGCAGCCCTTCTCTCCGGGTCTCGCGTGCTGAGTATGTTGGGTGCTGTGCCCAGAGGGGGAGCGGGTGCCCGTCGTTTTCACGAGGAAAGGGGCCTGTGCAGGTCACCCGAGGAGCTGTGCCGCACAAGTCGGCTCACTTGGAGTCAAAGGCCGGGGTAGGAAAAAAAGGATAACGAACTGGATCCTATTTGGATCCAGTCTGCAGGATCAAACCAGGCTCTGGTTCAGTTTCAGCCTTTGGCGCGGGGCACTACGTGTGTACACGCTGTGCGGTGAAGACGCTCTCTGGTTCTTGTGTTCTGGTAGCTCCGGAAACGGCGAGGCTGACGCATGAGAGCCGCTTTGGCTGCGAGGCAGGTCACGCACCAATAGCTTTCCCTGCTGCCAGACTCTTCCCGTAAAGCTCTGGCTGCACGGGTACAGGGAGGCTAGCAGAGTACACGCCTCGCTCCGATTAATTTTTTTTCCTGCTTCCTCCTCTGTTCATCTGACACCTGGTTGTGCTTAAGGCCTTCCAGCTAAATGTGAATCAGGTATCTTCTGGCGCTCTCCAATTCCAAGCATCAATTCCAGTGCTCCAATAGAGCAAGAGACTGCAACTTCTTACCTGTTTGCTAAGGGGAGATTAATCCACCAGGGAGCCGGCACTTGTTCTGGTGCTATTCTTGTCCGAAGCCTCAGGGGGGGTAACGAAGACGTTTGTGTTCTCCCTCTTTTTCTTTCCGTAGCCAAAGCCCCACTGTGACGCTCCAGTCGACGAATACTCACACGCAGAGCAGCAGCTCGAGTTCCGACGGGGGTCTCTTCCGCTCCCGACCCACCCACTCGCTCCAGCCGGATGAAGATGGGCGTGTGGAGCCCTATGTGGATTTTGCAGAGTTTTACCGGCTTTGGAACATGGACCATGGCGAGCAGGGAGCACTGACTGTGTCCTAACGTGGAACTCTGCCTCCTCCGGACACCGTGCGTGAGCAGAGGCTGAGGCAAGGCTGAGGGCGCTGCCCCGGGGTCTGAGTTGCCTCCCATCCCGGGTGCGCTGAACACTGGGCCGGGGAGCGCCTGCAGCGCTCTACACGTGCGTTGCCTGTACCACGTGCTCCGTCCTGACCAGCCTCGTTCCCTTGGAAGCCCTGTGGATAGGGGAAGGGGATTTGAATGCGTTTTCGCCAATAAAGATGCGGAGAGGGCTCCCTCTGGATAATGCAGGCGCAGGGGCCTGCGCAGAGGCTGCGTGCGCGCCTGTGTAGGTGCGTGCCGGCGGGCGTGCTGTCACAGTGTTCCCACAACTCCATTCACGATGCTGTGACTCCAGTGTTCGACTCCATAGAAGATACCTCTATTTTGCGGAATAAATAACTTATAGCTACACGTATGGGCACCTCTGCGGCTGGCTCTCATGCAGGGCCGTGACGGCTCTTCCTGGCACCGGGTCGCACCTCGCAGCAGCCAAGCTTCTGTTGCAGAGCCCGAGCCCTCACAGGTGACTTGGAAGCGTAAGGTCTTTGTCCCACGCTTACTTATTTGCCGGGTGATGGCTTGGAGTTGAACTCTAAACTCAAGATCATTGTGTTTCCTGGTAGCGCGGGTGGGTGGGACCCAAACTCCGGTGATGCAGCTGCCCTGACAGTGCTGGCGCCTGCCCTCCTGCCCGAGCAGCGAGGAGAGGGGGGAGCTTCTTGGTCCCCGGCTGCATGTCGGGGGGATGAGGCCTGGGCTAGCTGCTGGAACTGCTGGGATCACGGTGATCTTCCTCTTCAGTTCAGGCTTCTGACGGCAGGCGGCAAGCGAGCCCCTTACCTCCCTGCTCCAGCCTTCCCCTTCTGCCTGCCTCGCGAGCTCCCTGGGGAAGAGCCTTTCCCTGGCGAACACGGCGAGGCCTCGGGGTGACCGCTGTGCCTGGTGCCTCCGTGGGGAGGTGCGATAAGGCGCCAGGCAAAGCCAGGACAGGGCTGGAGGAGAGTACAGGAGAAAGGGCAAGTGAGGGAACCTGCCTGGGTTCCTTCCCAGGTATAATTTTGCTTCCAGGCTGGTCAGAAGGGGAGCGGGAAGGGGTCGGGATGAAGTAGCAGAGGATGCTAGTCAAGGCCAGCGTGTAGCCGAGCCCTGCGCGTGCAGGTCCGAGGCACTTGTGGCCTGCCAGCTTAGCAAGGAGCGGAGGGGGATTTATCCCTTTGGATAAATCAAACGGCACCGAGCGCCCCGAGGCAAGATCCGAGTTTGCTGAGAAATACGTGGGCAGGATCAGAGCAGTGAGAAACGCCCATTTCCTCGGAAGGCGCAGCGGGGATCCCTTGCAGGTAGGTGGGTGGCTCCCTGCCATGGCCCCCTGGCACGGCTTTGCCCCACAGGGTTTTGTGTGGGGCTCTTGCCTGCTGGGCTGCCTGCGGAAGCCCGCGTTTCCCTGCCCCTCTCTGGTTCCCAGGAAGGCTGGGTGTGCTCAGCGTGCCAGCACAGGCACCTACCGTTGAGACCCTTCCAGGGAAGGGGCGCTCGGCGCGGGGGGAGAGGCGGTGGAGCTGGGCTGAGGTGCGGTGCCTTGTCCCTGAGGCTGATGGAGGGGGGTGCTGGCTGCCCCCCGCCCATGTCCCCTGCCCTGCGAGGAGCAGGTGGTTCAGGTACCCGAGCCCAGCCTGGCCCGGTTGTCCAGGACCGCTCCCAAATGCCATTTGACCTGGGGATCCTGTGCTTCCCTCCAGGTTGTTGTGTGGGTGTTTAGTAGGATGGTGTGATCCTTGGGCGGACTGAAATGTAGCCGAAGAGGTTTTATCCTATCCCGCATTCCCTAACCTGGCACAGATTCCAATAGCTGTGTAAACAAGTCTTTCTTGCTTATTCCCCCATCCCATTTATCTGTGGTATTTGCTAACTTCTACCGAGAACAGTTCCAATGGGAAATATTCCAGCATGCGGATGCTCCAGAAAGAAGTTTAAGAATTGCCAAACGCACTTACATAAAGCAGATCACGCAAAACAAACTCCTCCTTTGGCACAATTACCCCTTCATGAAGTACGAAAAAATGGAGTGGGTAGGAGCGGGTGGGTCGCACTAAGCTGTGGCTGTACAGCCGCTGGAAAAAAGAGGAAAAGAGGTTTTCCCGTACGTGCTCTGTCAGCGGTGGCTTAGGAGCCCCGGTCAAAGCCAGAGGCTGAGCGTTGCGTGCGGGGGGACGGAGGCTCGCGAGCGCGTGTCGGTATTTGTGTGGCCCGTAGGGAGCGGTGGGAAGATGCAGGCTGTAACAAGAGTGGAAAAACATCCTCTCCCCTGCCCCTGTAAAGTGAAGGAAGAGGACAGAACCGGAGTGATCGGGAGAAACAAGAGCAGGGGCCTTTTTGCAGTGCGGTGAAATTGAACCCCGCTAGAAATGGAAAGTCCTAGGCAGGAGGAGGGAAAAGCAGCGCAGCTCTGCTGGAGCGGGGCTGGCAAAGGCAGCTCTGAACGCGCAGGGTAAGCCTGCCGGAACGGCAGCGAATCTTCTTCTGCAAGGGCTCTCCCCTGCGAGGTGGGGGTGGAAAGGAGAAGCCCTCTCCCCGGCACTGGAGCAGCGGGGATGTGCCGTGGGCGCTGGCTGAGGGTCATTAGCGGCGCTCTGGCTGGTGAGATGAGCTGGGAGAAGGCCCCGGTTCCCAACGCTCATGGGCAGGCAGCGAGGCGAGCGGCAGCTGAGGATTTGGCACAGCTGAAGATGATGCAAAAGCTCGAGATGCTCTTGGGGAGGGCCGAAGCCATATGCACCTCACTGCGTGCCAGGGGCGTGGAGACAGCCCAGCAAAGGCTGGGAAGGGCTGTGGAGCCTCCCCGCTGCCCTTGAGGACCTCCAGAAAGAGCTGGCTGATAGAGGAGGCCGTGTCGGGGCTGGTTTCAGTATGGAGCTGGGGTTTGTGTTGCTCCCGAGTCGGGGCCGTGCCTCTGTCCTGAGCCATCCGAAAACCTTCTCTTGGCTTGCGCTCTTGCTCCTCCCCAAACCAGTTACCTCACCAGGTGCCTGGGTGGGAGACAGGAGATGCTCTGTTGTCCCTCCCATCCCTAATATTCTGTTGCTCGTTGCTTCTCCTCCCCCGAGCAACTTTTCCCGCAGCCTGGTGGGGAGTGCCCAGCACCGGTGCAGGGGGCCTGGTGGGTGTTGGGAGACACCCTTGCTGGCAGCTCTCTGCACCTTCTGCCTCCCATACGTCTTACGGTCCCAGAACCCGCAGAGGGGGCTCTGCAGCATGGGGAAAGGGCAGTTTCCAGGAGATGCTTGGCAGGGTCATGTCCACCCCAGCCTGAGGTGAGCCATCAGCGGCAAACCTGAAAACACGCAGCCTGTCCTGGGTATGGGGATGTGCAGACACAGGGGGCCCTTCGCTGCCACCTACGACTGCGGTCCTCACCGTCTCTGCTGCTGAAGGGTTGCCGGGGACTTTTTATTTCCAGCTCTCCCTCAGCGGAGTAGCACACCCATCTGTAACAAATCCTTTAAATAGCAGCAGGGTCACAGCTGGCTGTGCTCGGCCCCGGTACGCGGTCTGCGGGCAGGTCATGCGGCGCTTGCCTTGCTTTCAGCAGCTGAGGCATCGGCCAGAGCGAACATGGGCTGCTTGGTTGCCGTTCACCTCTTACTTCCCACTCGGTTGCTTTTGGCACGCCTGGACTTTCCAATAGGCACACGGTGAGCAAGTGGTACTCGGTGCCACCGATGCTCCCTGGACCATGCACAGTGGGAGGCTCTGCTCCCTCAGCTGCCGTGCTCTGGAGAGGAAGGCAGGCATTCCTCTCCCTTTTCTCTTTGACCACGGTAAGGTTCTGAGGGCGTTAGGAGACAGCAGAAGGGTTGGTGGCACCGCTGGAAAAAATGCAGCGATTGGCCTTCTGTTGCCCTGGGGCAGAGATAGCCACAGCTGGGGGTTGGAACTAGATGGTCTTTAAGGTCCCTTCCAACTCAAACCATCCTGTGATTCCATGATATACGTGTTTTTTAATTTGATAGTTGTTTATATATAATAGTCTGACTTTTCCTTCCCTAGAAATTCTGCTTTACAGTAATCCCGTGTAGTTCATTACTCGGGTGACTCTCCTTCCTCCGGTTAAGGGCATCGCTGGCATCCCAAAACGCCAGTGCCGTTAACCTGAGTTGTAAATAAACCACCAGGGATGGGTTAGGTACTTTAAATCCTACAGCTCTTTCTGTAAGCGTAGGAATGCTATTCGGAATATTCTGGCTAAAATTCAGCAGCTTATATTCTGCCAACTCCAATCCCCTCCCAGAGTTTCAAATGGATACGATATTTATCTTCGCTTCCCGTCTTAACTATTGTGTGTTGTCGCTGTAGGTTGCTAAACAACTGCTGTCTCATCGGTGTCTGTATTTTGCTGGCAAATAAAGTGATCCCCATGTGCATATGAACCATAAAGCTATTTGGAGTCCTTGCCTAAGAACCCCTAGGTACGTGTAAGCTGCCTCCCAGAGTTTCAAATGGATACGATATTTATCTTCGCTTCCCGTCTTAACTATTGTGTGTTGTCGCTGTAGGTTGCTAAACAACTGCTGTCTCATCGGTGTCTGTATTTTGCTGGCAAATAAAGTGATCCCCATGTGCATATGAACCATAAAGCTATTTGGAGTCCTTGCCTAAGAACCCCTAGGTACGTGTAAGCTGTTAATATTTATTATGTGGAGCGGAGAACATCACTGAAGATGGAGGGATTAGAGTAACTGAGTTCAGGCTGTTGAACAGCCAGGCAGAATGGAAGAGAAAGCAGATGCCCTGGAGGAATAAGAGCAAAAAGCATGAGGAATTTTCTGCATGCAGGATTAGGCTCCAGCGGAGCAAGGCAAGAAAAAGCCTGGGAATGCTCTGGAGAGCCAGGATGGATAGGAGCGATGCGGTGTTATGGCTTCTTGCTCAGAAGTGAATCTTCCCCTCTCCACTTCCCCCAAACAAGCAGCAGCTTAACCACGGGCTCGCTGGGCTGCAGCCAGCAGGAGCCCTGGGAGAAGGGACCTGGCCATGTCCGGACACAGGTTGGGTGTGCATCCAAGGTCTCCGAGAGAGGACTTTGACTTCGGTGCTGTGCAATCCTTGGGCCTGGCCCTCTCCCTGCTAGGTGTTTCGAGAGTCTCCTAACCTGTTTTCTCTTTTTGCCTCATCCCTCAAGAACAGCGTGACCTAGAAATTCTGCGTCTCTTCCGTGGGTTTTGCCTGAGCCGGCCAAAGAGCTTTTCCCTGCCTCACAAAAACCAAGTGGCAGCGGGGAACAGCACCCGCCCCTTTCTGCAGAGCAAGGTCCACAGCAGTACCATGGAATCATGGAATGGTCTGGGTTCGAAGGGACCTTAAAGATCATCTAGTTCCAACCCCCTTGTCATGGGCAGGGACCCCGCTCTGGT